TCGCGGCGGCCGGAGGCCACGAGCCGCTGGTGCGCTTCCTGCTGCGCCGCGGCGCCTCGGTCAACAGCCGCAACCACTACGGCTGGAGTGCGCTCATGCAGGCGGCCAGGTGAGGGGTCAGGGGCACCGGGGGTGGTGTCCAGCGGTGTCCGGGTTCAGGCGGCAGGAACTGCCCGGAGGCCCCCGCAGACGCCCCGAGAGGTAAAGAGTCAAGGACTCGTTGGAGAGTTGGAATGGTAAACTTTGAGCAGCTTTGGGATACAAGGAGAAGTGGAAGTGCATTTTAATAACATCATAATCTTGGAAACACTGGGCTTTAAGAACAATCTGGACACTTGAGAGTAGAGTCTTAGAGACTCAGAATCTTAGAGGTGTTCATTCATTCCTTCTGCAAGAAGATTTTCCTAGGAACCTACCTACCTACTCTAGATTGGTGATGGGCATACTGTGGGACTCAGGTAAAGTCCCCGTTGGGAGGAGCTCACTGCCCTTGGGCAAGCCAGACAAGGGAATAGGCTTGACAGGGAAAGTTCAGGGAATTCTGGAAGTTCCAGACCCAGTTTGGGGAGGTGGAGGAAGGTTTCTGGTAAGGATGATGTGTTTTCAAGTGGAGACCTGAGGATGTCTAAGAATTAACCAGAAGCAGGAGGTGGGTACCAGGTGATAGGAGGCCCATGTAAAGGTTTGGAAGCAAAAGCGAACATAAGGAGTTAGTCGGACTGTCAGATGTTATGGTGGGAGTTGTAGGATATGAGCTCTCCCTGCAGAGGAAGTGGCAGTTGCTAGGTAGCAGGGCTGAGAAAAGTGAGGTATCCTAAGGGCACTGGGGAGTAATGAAAGGTTCTAGGTACAGCGATTGACTGAATCAGATTGTTTTGGAAAGATCACTTTCCCTGTGGTGTGAAGATGGATTGGAGTGGTAGGCTAGAATCAGAAATTCTGGTTAGGAAGGGATCACAGCAGACTACGAACAGGTGATGCTGGCCCGGACCAGAGCAGAGACAGCAGCGGGACAGCAAAAAGATGGGTTTGAGAGGTACAGGCATACCTCAGAGATATTGCGAGTTCCGTTCCAGACCACTGCAATAAAGCAAGTATCCCAATAAAGTGAGTCATAATCTTTTTGCTGGTGGAGGGTCTTGCCTTCAATTTGTAAAAAAACAAACAAAACAAACAAAAAACCCCACAACATCTGTGAAGCACAATAAAGTGAAGCATGGTAAAACGAGATATGCCAGTACTCAGGAAGCAGGATGAAAGGACTTGAGACCTTGATATAAAGAAACTGGTACACAGTGAATTCTCTCACTCCTTTTGGCCATCAACTTAGGTCCCACCCACCCATTTTCTTGCAGAAGTTCCCCAAGGAGGGAATGCAGGTCATTTGTAACTGCGGTGAATATTGCCAACTTGCTTTCCACATAGGTGTATTAGTTTCCTACGGCTGCTGTAACAACTTGCCACAAAGCCAGCAGCAATCACATAACTTCGACCCCTGTTTCTGTCATCACATCCTCTAACTTTGACTCTTCTGTCCCTCTTCCATATTAAAGGACCCTTGTGATTACATTGGGCCCACCTGGGTAATCTAGGCTACTCTCCCCATCTCAAGATCAGTTGATTAGCAGCCTTAATGATTATTCTATCTGCAACCTTAATTTCCCTTTTGCCATGAATCCTAACATATGTTCTGAGAGTTAGTATGTGGACATCTTTGGGAGCCCATTTTTCTACTGGCCACAGCAGCTGCACCAGTTTACCCAATTTATCCTCCCAGCAGCAGTATGAATGATTGTTTTTCTGCAGGCTCACCAACAGAGTATGTTATTAGACTTTTGGATTTTTATGTCTGATGGGTGAAAAATCTTATTTCAGTGTAGCTGTGATTTGCATTTGTTAAAATGTGAGTGAAGTAAAGCATTTTTCCATATGTAAGGGCCATTTGTTTTTCTAAAAGGCATTGAAAACGGAACGTTCTTACACATAATGTTCTCATTGTGACCCACAGTATTTTATTCCTCTGAATTCCAACTATTACACAGTTCTAATCTAATTTGTATTGCTGGAAAATTTTTATTCTGCATTATTTTCAAGTAGATCATTTTCAACCGCTGCGTGATATTCCAAGTGTGATGGTACTGTGGTTTGCTTAACCATTCTCCAGCCCTTGGGCGTTTATTTCAATCAGTCTATTGAAACTTTGGCAACGCATCCCATTTAGGGAATGCATACCTGTTCACAGGGGCATGGCAGTGTTATATGCTCTTACCGGTGTGTTGGGACCCTTTGTCTTAAGATATTTAATATCATGCCAGTCTGGGGTGACCATAAAGCCTTTTGGGCTATCCACCTTTCTTTCTGAGGTTCCCTGTCTCTCTTAGTGGCCCCTTTCCACTCTTCCAGTTTTTAAAATACCAGGTAAATCCTCAGCCCTGGTAACTGTCTGTGCCGTGGCCATATCTGCCCATCTGTCTCTGCCACACCCTCTCTTGAATTCACACCCTCTCTCCTTCCTCTCTGCCTTAGTCCAGGCCACACCTTTGGAGTGGCCTTCCACTGCTTTCCTTTTTTCAGGTGTACCTTCTCTAATCCATCCTCTATAGAGCTTCCAGATCTTTCTGAAGTGAATGTTTGGTTGTTCCTCCCCTGTGATGGCTTTCTAGTAAGAGCCCTTAGCATGGCATTTGCGGGCTCTCACGCTCCTCAGATCCTTTCCTCTGCTTTCCGCCTGGCTTCCTAAACGAAACTTCCTAAACTAAACCTAAACTCAGGCCAAGATGATTTCATCCAGACTTTCCCTGTCTTCCTTTGGCTTTGTTTGTTTGTTTTTTGGTTAGCATTTATTGAGCATTTCCTATGTGCCAAGAATATTATCTCCACTTTATAGATGATAGTCTAAAATTACAAAATTTGCTCATGAGCGTATAGCGAGTCAGCAGACTTGGGGCATCCAGCTGCAGAGCCCTTACCATAACCACATACAGGAAGCCCCTTGTACCCTCAGTGAAGCGCCCCTGTTCTTCCTGGCTTAACTTCTTCCAGGAAGCCTGCCACGATACCCTTCCCTTCTCTGTTTCCTCAGCACGGGAAGGGCACCAGCAGTAGTGCCCACTACCCCATGCTATAGCTGGTCCCCTTCCTCAGTGGCACCCAATCCTGGCCACACACCAGAATCTCTGGGATGCTTTTTCAAATCAGATTCTTGAGTTTCCTTTATGGAGATTGTGATTCAGAAGACCTAGTGGGAAAGGGACTGTGTGAGAAGAGGCTCCCCAGTGATTTTTGGAAGGCACTGATGTGAGCCTAATCTCTGAACTCCTACTTGCTGAGTGAGGTTTGTGACTGTAGTGTCTGGCAGGCTTCAGAGTGTCTCAGAGACCTCCGATCGCCAGTTTTTTGCTATTAACCAAGTTCTATAGGATAGTCAAAGTCATCCGATTAAGTTCATCTAATTTCTGTTCATCTTGATGGGGCAGGAAACTCAGAAGAATTAACCTAAACTCTGTTAACTAATAAGTTAACATTTTTAAAGAATTTTTCTTCTTCTCTACAACTTGATACTGTTTGCTGGAATTTGTGGTCCAAGTGTCCTCACTTTGTCACTTGCAAATCAAGAGGCTCTGGACTGATTATGTTCCTTTTTATTCCTCTGTTTATCGTGTAGGTGCTGTTTGGGGAGCGTTAGCTATGACATACTCTTGTTTACTCCTAAGAGAATGTACTAGAATGTGACAATCCTATGAGAGGATTAGAATTGACTCTCGACCTTTAGCTGGGCCTCTACAGGGCCTGGGTACTTTAAAATGTATTGTCCCTCAGTTGGCGAGACTGACCATCTGTACTCAGGTATCCCCTCTGCCTGTGTTGGGTTGTATTTGAGCTTTCTGCTGCCTAATCTGTATGTGGAGGAATAGTATATACAGAGAAGGATATACAATCTGTCTGTCTCTCGGATCAGGCAAATGCATGGCATGTGCCGACACGTTCCAGTCTTTGTTCTTCCTCCCTGAATCTAGATACCCATTCAAGTGCCTCAACATGATGCTCCCGGCAGCCACCACTTTTGGTGGAAGAGAGCATCTATTTATCATCGCAACTCTGTTCCAAAGCTGGTCATTGGATCAAACCAGGCCATCAGAGGCCCTGTGCCTGAACTGCAGTTTGGTTGCTTGGGGATGTTTTAGTATTAGAAATGGTTACATTCATATTTTTTCCTTATTCTTAAAATGATAACCATTATTGAGCACTTTGTGTCAAGCACCGTGCTCAGTGCTTTAACTGAATTAACTCATTCAACCCACACAAAACCTTGGAAAGCAGGTATTGTTGCTCTCCCTATTTTATAGATGAAGAATTGAGGCTCAGAGGAGTTAAGTAACTTGCCTAAGGCCACCCACCCAGGTATATGGCTCCAGAGCTTGTGCTCCCAGCCATGAATCCTGTAGCTGACCATTTTCCACTTGGTGTTGGCCACAAGGAAGCTACTTGCCAAATTTGCCGTATGCTAAAGGGACAGGTTGCATGGTGTTTACTTTGGCTCTAACTTCATCCTTGGCCTCTTTACTTTCCTCCTCCTGCCCTTTATTTCTCTGCCTTCCAGTGTAGCAGAGCTGGACTCTCTGCCCAGTGCTTTGAGTGGTGGGAGTATGTGCCAGGTCTTTAAACACAGGTGTTAATTGCAGAAATTAATTGGTAATCATAGCAGCTGTTCAGAAAGCCCCAGCTTCCCTATCTTTAGTAATCACCTATAAGCAATTTAGCATCCACAAAATTATTTTAGCTTTTGTTGAATCCTTTTATATTTTCAGTCTAATTGAATGACCTCTTGGGCTACCCATGAGTTCAGAAAGCATTCCAAGTGTCAACATTTCTGCTGAAATTCAGCCCTTTTGTGGCTCTGTGAAAATTTGTTACACCAGAAGAGCAAGATTTGGGGTTTTAGGGTCTAAATTCAAGTTTTGACTCTGTCACTTTCAAATTTCTGGATTATTGCTGTCCATTCTAATCTTGATTTCCTCATCTGTGAAATGGGAGGTTTATCTCAGGATTTGTTAAGATCAATGAGGTAAAAATATGACAGTACCTTTAATCTGCTGTTAGGAACTATACTAGATTTTATCTCATGCTTGGTAACTATAGTATAATCTTTTAAAAATTCACCACTCCAATGGAGGATATACCAGTTCTTCAGACAATTCAATTGCCTATCTTTGGACTGCCCTCTACATGGTTATACCATTCATTCATTCACTCACTTATTCATTTGACAGTATTTACTGAGCTCCACTCTGGGTCAGCCACCCAGTCCTGTCTTTGGAGAGTCTAATAATTGGCAAGTACAGGAGCGCATGGCCAGAGCGTACGGTGTGGGAGTTGGGAGAAGATGAGGTTGACAAAGTTGGCAGGCGTTTGGGCAGTAGGAAGTTGCCGTCAGATTTAGGGTTTGGGAATATCATTTTAGGTTTTGAGAATGACATCATGGATGGGCAGGAAGGAAGCACAGAGACAGATTGGGGTTGCAGCTTCTGCCTTTGAGTTTATTTCAGCTTGACTTGACCTCTCTCTGCTCTTAGAGAAAAGGCGGGCAGGCCCAGCCTTCTATAGCTGGGGGAGCCAGTTCATTAAGCTTTCCCTCTGAGAGCCGTGCTTTGTAGGCTGAGGTGACCTGGTGCTGTTAAGGTTCATGTCCCAGAAGGTATTTGTTAAGTTCAAACCAGAGTTAAGCCTTGGCTCTGCCTCCACAGGGCGGAGGGAGGCCCTGGGTTTAGTTGAGCTACAAAACCCGTGTCCAGAAAGGAGGGGTGTGCACTAAGAGATTCAAAAAAACTGCCTCGCAGGATGCAGACGTTATGCAGACAGCATGGTCTTGTACAACCTAGCACAGCCGGCCCCGCTCCTCTTGTCATTCTTTCCTTTCCTGGTTCAGGGGCCCCTTCCAGCTCTGACATACACAGCTCTGAGCTCAGAAAGTGTGCCAACCCAAAATGCTACAAAACAGAACTTTTCCGCCCTCTGGTGGCTAAAGGAGAAAGAGATTTTGCTGGGAAGAAGCATCTGTTCTCCTCTTCCTGGTAGGAGAGAGTTGGTGGGCACATGTTTGTCTTCCCAGTGTCCCAGCTTCTTTGAAGAGGGTCTGGCCCAAGCCCAGTTCTCAGCCTCCTGCAGTGGACATTCCTGCCAGCAGGTGGCAGCATGCCTCGGATGAGAAGCGAGAGCCCATCTCTGCTGACCACAGTCACAGCCACACCTCTTGGCATGGGGTCCACTGCCTCATTTGGAAGGACCTTCTCTGTGTGTACATTTGGGGAGGAGAAGGGTACACATGAGTCAGACATGGGCCCTGCCCATGGGAAAATCAGCATAGGCAGAAGGACAGATTACCACACTATAAAGCAGAATAAAGTGACCTTTCTGAGACGTGGGAGGCAACATGGTGTAGGGGAAAGAGGGAGGGCAGCAGGATTCAGACAGACCTGGATTCTGACCCCGACACAGCTCCTGACCGGCTAGGTAACCTTGCCATGTTGCATAATGTAAAATGATTACAGTGATCAAAGCTAACATTTATATGGTGCTTCCTTTGGCCAAGCATTGTTCTAGGTGCTTTATATAATATATTTAGGCATATTAACTCAACAATCCTTAACATTGTCCTGAAGTAGATACAATTATATCCCCCATTTTACAGATGAGGAAATGAAAGCACAAAGAAACTAAAGGTCTTTCTCAAGGTCATGCAGAGAGTAGATGGTAGAGCTGGATTTGAACCTAGGCAAGGCAGTTGCTCATCTCTGTGGTTTCACATGTGCAGGGCCAGCACAATTCCTGGCACCAGAAGAAGGCCTTTTATTATAAGCAGCTCTTATGACTTAAATAATTAATGATAAATGGGGATTACATAAGTATTTCCTTATCAGTGCTCCATATTTAGTGTCACTAATTCTCCATCTTCCTGGCAGATTTGGGCATGTGAGTGTGGCACACCTGCTTCTGGATCACGGGGCTGATGTCAATGCCCAGAACCGGCTGGGGACCAGTGTGCTCACTGTGGCCTCTCGGGGTGGCCATTTGGGCGTGGTGAAACTGCTCCTGGAAGCTGGTGCCTTTGTGGACCATCACAGCCCCTCAGGCGAGCAGCCAGGGGCAGCAGACAGCAGGGATGAGCTTCTGGACATCACAGCCTTGATGGCTGCCATCCAGCACGGGCATGAGGCCGTGGTGCGTCTGCTGCTAGACTGGGGTGCAGATCCCAACCATGCAACCCAGACTGTGGGCTGGAGCCCGTTGATGCTGGCAGCGCTCATTGGAAGGCTCAGCATGGCCCAGCAGCTGGTGGAGAAGGGGGCCAACCCTGACCACCTCAGCGTACTGGAGAAGACTGCCTTCGAGGTTGCACTGGACTGCAAGCACAGGGACCTTGCAGATTACTTGGACCCACTGACCACCATCAGGCCCAAGACAGGTCAGGCTTCCCCTCCCTGCCCCCACCCCCACCGTGGCTTCACAGAGGATCCCAAATTGTGTTTTAAAGACTCAAGCCATGGATCGCCCATCCAAAGGGCATACAGACATCAGAGTCCAGCCTGCAGGGCCATGGGACGTAAGCTGTGCTGTGTGTAAGAGTCAGTTGAGAGTGCCTGTCACATGCAAGGTTCTTGGCTCACACACCAAAAAGAGATTTGGGTAGCTCTGGGAAGAGCCTGGAAACCTACAAAGCAAGGCCCCTCCTCCCTAACTCTGATGCAGATGGCTCTGGGATCCTTCTAGAACAGAATCAGCAAACTTTTTTTTGTAAAGGAACAGATCAGTATTTTAGACTTTGTGGGTCATACGGTCTGTGTCTTAATCACTCATTTCTGCTAGTGAAAGCAGCCTTACGTGATATGTAAATGAGTGGGTATGTTGCAGTAAAACTATAATTATAAAAACAGGCAGCGGGTCAGGTTTGGCCCATGGACTGTAGTGTGCCAGCCTTGCTCTAGAACAGTGTGCCTGATCTTGTCAGTGATCGGTCCTCAGAGACTAATTCACATAAAGTTCAGCCCACTTTAGAGGTTTTCAACACCTATTAATGTGTCCTGTTTCTTTTTTCTTTTTGCCATCTTTCTGGATTTTAAAGGGCTGTCTAAACAGTCCTTAGCAAATCTGCCACAGGACACATCATGTTTCAAAACCTCTAGTTGTGCAGTAGGACCATGAAATGCAGTGTCACACACAGCCTCAGCGCCCTCTTCCTGTGATGGGTCTGACTTTGGTGATAGGACTGAGACGGTCCAGGCTGTAGGGACCAGCTGCACTGTATAAGCATCTAGGGCTGAAAAGTAAAAAATCTGAAGAAAAGGCCAGCCAAGGGACATTGGACTGGTTGCCTGAATTCACCAAGCTTCCATTTGCCATCCATAAGTGGGGGACAGGAGTAACACCCACCCCACAGGACTGCTGTGAGGATTAAGTGAGGTCACCTCGGCCAACAGGGAGTGTGTGAGAGATGTTGGCAGCTGCCATTACCCCTATTACTGTTGTCATATTTGACAAGATCGGGTCATGTCTGTGAGTACAGACTTCCCTGTCACGCATACCTAGGTTTGAAGCTAGTTCTCCAATTTGTAGCGGCGTGGCCTTGGGCATGTTCACTGTCCTGTCAGGGCCTCAGTGTCCTTCCTCTGTTATAAAACAGTTGTAATAAATGCACTTACCTTAGAAGGTTTTGTGAGCAGTTGGAAGATTATGCCTGTAAAATGTATATCCACAACCTGGAACGTAGACAGCACTGAGTAAATGGAAGCTATTATAATAGGTTTTCATTGACCATTTGTTCATTCAGTTATTCTACAAATATTTACTGAGTGCCTACTATGTACCAGGCATCATTCTTGGCACCTGGGATATATCAGATCCAATCCCTGCCCTTGAGGACCTTGGCAATAAACAGGAAATAGACTATTAAATAAAGTAAGTTACATAGCATGATAGGTGGGGGGTAAGATAGAGGGTTTCGAGTGGCAGAGTGGGGGCGATGCATGCTGCAGTGTGAAAAAGGACAGTCAGGTGGCCTCCTTGAGGAGATGAGAGTTCCACCGACTGGCAAGAGCTGAGGGAATGCTCCACGTGGGCTCTCAGGGAAAAGTCTTCAGGGGAGACAGCAGCAAGGACAAGGCTGTGTTATTAATAATGATAGGTCATGAAATAAATAATAGCCCCCAGCTGTTTTTGCGAGATGCCAGGAAATCTAACCCACTGGGGCCTTAGGGACCCCCAGGGTGTAATTGTCATTGTGACCCCCTCCCCACCCTCACCGTGGTTGTACCTTGAGCTGCTGTCGTGTTGACATGAAAACTGGAGCCCAGAGCAAGGAAAGGACCAGCTCAGGGTCACTTGGCATCTGGAGCGTAGCTACCTCAGCCTCCTGGGGTCAGACTAGATTGTCAGCGATTCATTTGTTCCAGATGGTTGCTTAGCAACCAACACCAAGGCCAGGTGACAGGCTTTTTTTTTTTTTTTTTTTTTGTCAAAGGGTCTTGACATGAGAAGGCATCAGCCCACATTAAATTAGAATCTGAAACACTTAAAGGAACATGACATATCCCTTAAAACTAAGATGCAATATCGTTTTATACTAGTATTTCAGAGGCAAAATCAGATACTTGGTTCCATGTCTACTTTCTTTAAGAACCCTGGAATTAAGTACTTACCTTTGCTGAGGTGATTGCTGGTCACTAGTAAAGATAACAAAAATTGCTCTTTGAACAGGCCTGTTTCTGAAGCATTTGCCCATCTATATTATTAATCTCTGAACTGCCATGTGGTCCCCACATTAGCATGTTATCCCATTTTCGCGATGAAGAGACACATCACTCTAGAAACGAGTATTCATTCTGATATGCTGACTCCAGACTCAGTGCCCCTTGCACTGTTTTTCACCTTCCTCCCAGCTGCCTACTGGGGCTGATCTGGACCAGAGGTTCGGCCCAGAGCCACAGGCTTCCTGCAGCTGCTCCATCCCTGGAGCTAGTGCAAGGCTGCAGAAAGTCCTGCCTTCCACTGCCAGCGAGGGGCCTGGCCTGGTCATGAGAATGTCTACTTTCTGACAGGAGCAGGGTCCCCACTAGCCTAAGCTTGGAAGAAGGTGACGGATGAGCAGATGAGGGAGGGGCTGGCATAGGGTGGGTGCAGCAAGCCCCAGTGTTGGGGGTAGGCAGGAGATGCAGGGGTCCTGCACCAGCTGAGCCCTGGGCTTTGGGGACCAACATGAGGACAGCGGGTGGGCAGTTGCCTGTAGAGAGCTGTGTTTGCAGGTCTGGGGCAGGGACGACTCAAAATCATGCAGATTACTTCTTATTTGGGAAGGAAAGCAAAAATTAACGTTGGCTTTTCTGGCGGCCACATTCATGGCCTTCCTCTGGGCTTAGCTGCTCAGCGTATCAGGGGTCCTCTGCTCTGGAATTATCTCATGGTTGTCCATTTAGGAGAAAAGAATCACTGTTTCTTTTTAAAAATTTCATAGCAATTCAGAGATTTCCCAAGACTGCTTTTCTATCATATCTAAGAAAGGACATCCCAAACGTTTGGAATGCATAAGAGCTTTATGAGTATGGGATCAGGAAATGGTCCACTATCATTTTGGCCAAACGACCTCCCCAGCTCTGTCTCTCAAGTGTTTTTGGACACTATGATAATAACCCTTCCAGAAGGGCTGCTAGATTTGTCTGCTGCTTAGGTTTTCAATTAGATTGCTTCTGAAAAGTAGATCATTTTAAAAGCGAGGCTATGTCATTCTTACACCCTTGTGACTTTTCTGTTATATTGAACCTTTCGGTGCTTAACTTTTAAAACCTTTGTTTACCCAGATGAGGAGAAAAGACGACCCGATATTTTCCATGCATTGAAAATGGGTAAGCACTTTAGAAAATCTTTTTGGATATTTTAGAATTCAGTGCTAAATTCTCCCAACCTAATATTTCGAGTCCTCTTCAAGGCCACTCAGAGAAAGAAACAGGCATTTTGTTGTTTCCTAACTCTGTAGTTTCCCCCGTGAACATTCAGACCCAAGAGGCTGGTCGTTATTATGGTGCTTTACACACAGACTCCAGCCTGCCCTCCCAGGCTTCTCTACCTCTCTGGCCAAACCCTATGGTGAGGTCCTGGCTTTTCCCTACTTCAGAAATGCCTGGCTGCCACCTACCCACTTCAGTTTCCCTGTGATAAAGGACTATTTAGCCTAACATTTCTTCTTCTGATATAGACCCACCTTCAGGAAGTTCTCTCTGATCCTTAGCCCCTAGCCAGACCTGACCTCTCTTTCTGCATGGGCATTGCCCTTCATCTGTCGTCTTTATCTGTCCTTTTAAGACATCAAAACTTCTCTCTTTTAGTAAAGCTACTTGTATGTTGGTCTCTGTCCCTCATAAACTGAGGATTTGAGAGTAGGGCCTACCTCCGTCTCATCCTTGGAGCCCCTGTGATGCCCAGCAGCCCAGGGCAGAGGCAAGCTCAGCATATGTTTGTTAAATGAACCCACTGGATATGTAAGCCTGCAGTGCCAGGCCCATGGGTCATCAGGGCTACCGTTTCTGTTTGTAGGAAACTTCCAGCTGGTCAAAGAGATTGCTGACGAAGACCCCAACCACGTGAACCTGGTCAATGGGGACGGGGCGACCCCGCTGATGCTGGCAGCTGTCATGGGCCAGCTGCCTCTGGTGCAGCTGCTGGTGGAGAGACATGCCGAAGTTGACAAGCAGGACAGCGTGCATGGCTGGACAGCCCTCATGCAGGCCACGTACCATGGGTCAGTGCCAGCTCTACTTTCTCAGCGATGAGGCTGATGAGAGACTCAGGCTGAGATGAGGTTCTCGATGTAGACTCCTTCTTTGCTGTGTTCCCACCCTTCTGTATCCAGATTTCCCATGACCTCATCACACAGCTTCACCAGTGGCCATGAAAAAAGGAATGTTTTTGAGAGAGACAAGTTTTTGTAGGTTGCTTTCAGTTGAGCAGAGTGCTTGGTTCATTGGGGTTTTCACACAGATGTATGAGTGGCCTCCTCTACTGCGAAATGAACATGGACATGAACATGGGCCTTTCACACATTGGCTTCTCAGATGGCGACACTTGCTCTAACCCCCTCATTTTAAGCAAGTGTCAGCATTGACTGGTGCTTCTGAATCCTTTGTCATCCAGGAGCCCTCCTGGAGGCCTCCTCCTTAGGGGACCTCCTGGAGGCTCAGAGATGGGGCTCTGTAGTGACCGAGAGCCGGGGATCTGCACACAGTCGTGCAGCTGCTTATGTCTGATTCCAGGTTAGGGGCTCCATCCTTGCTCTGTTTCAGGTGATCGTAGTATTTGCCTGCGTTATGGCCAAGTAGTTTGTTTTCTTATTTGATGAGCCTCAGACTTCCACATCAAACACCTTGGCCTATGATCTGTAGTTTTCCAGTTTTCCACACCCTCCTACCTGCTCAGAGATGGGGCTCTGTAGTTAACATCACATTTTGTTTCCCAGGAGTAAAGCCATGCTTTCACTTTCAGTGGGCCTAACTCTGGCTTTTTCTTTCCTCCCCAGGAATAAGGAAATTGTCAAATATCTGCTAAACCAAGGGGCTGATGTTACTCTCCGTGCAAAAAACGGGTACACGGCCTTTGACCTAGTGATGCTGCTGAGTGATCCTGGTGGGTTGTTTCAAGAAAAAGGTTGTAAACCTGTATCATCTTTCTCTGGCTGGGAATCCAGATAATCGCCTGTGTGTTAAGCACTTTTCTTATTATCGAGGAAGGCACTCTCAAGCCCCTAGAGCTCTCCACGTGGCCCTAGGCAAGTTTTTCCCTTCCCAGAAAGGGCTGGGCTGGGGTAGTCCCTGAGGCCTCTTCCCACTACCAGCCTCTGGGAGTCTCTAAGGAGGGAAGGCCAGCAAAGCATCTGTCTGCCTTGGCAGTTCACAGATCCTAGAATGGTACCTGTGCTTTGTAGCCAGAAACTCCGAGTGACTCAGGAGTAAACAGAAATGCCTTTGACAAGCAGAATCAGAGACAGAGCACTGACCCCTCTGCTAAATTGTGTAGGTAGAGGCTGCCTAGGCTTTCAAGAGTACTGTGCTGGGGGTGTGGCCATTACTAGCCCCACCTCCCTTGGTTCTGGGCTGGCTGGCACCTGCTGCTCTCCTCAGCCCTTCCCCCTAAGTGTTACAGGCTGTCCTCTGGGACCTGCGTTTTCCAATTAGCCAGCTCAAGGGGCAGGGTCTCTCTCTATATCTGTTTATAATCTTGGAGCATCAGCCCAGAGAGGGAGGGGCTGGGAGGCCCTCCTGACCCCACAGGCTTTGAGCCCCGAGCCAGATCTCATCCTGTTGGTCGTGAGGATGAGACTTTTACCTCTGTGGCCCCAAATGGGTTTATTCCTGCTTCTGCTCTTAGCTACAGGAGTGCCAGGCCAGAATGTCCTTCCTCATCGCCAGCATTGCCATCCCCCTCACCCCACCCCCCGCTGCAGGGCCCACACGTCCCAGATACACTGCTTGGTTCTATTTCATCCTTGCAGAGTGTGCAAGGGAAGCAAAGCTTCGCATCCTCTAGGTAGGGGAGGTGACAGACCAGGAGAAACGAGTGACGCAGCCGGAGAGGTGGGGCCCTCGCCTAAGTCCAGCAGTCTCTCTCACATCATTCAGATTCAGCCTCCTGGGACCCCAGGCTGGATGACGCGTGCTTTTCTCTGACAAATTCTTTGTCGCTGTGTCTCTTCTCCTTCACTCCCTGCCCGTTTTCCCACTCCCTTTCCCCATAAAGCAATCAACCCCGAGTGGATTTTTTTTGCCCCTAGTGGGTTTTTAAATGAAGTTTTTGCCTGAAATTTTCAAAGAAACACGTGCTTATTATTGAACACTTGGAGAGAAAGAAAGAAATGATTGTCAAGAGAAAAGCACTGTTAATAGTTTGTAGTAGTTTCTTTTTAATCTTGTCGCTTTTTAACATAACCTAGTTGAGTTAATACTCACTAATGATACTTAACCATGCTTAAGCATTTACCATATGCCAGGAGTTCCCTTGATACCTCCAGATACCTTTAACGTCACCCCTTTTACAGAGGCACAGAGAGGTTCCTGAATTTACCTGCAATTACACAAGCAGAGAAGGGCAGAGGCAGAATTTGAACCTCTGCCATCTGGGTGCAGATCCTGTACTTTTTAAAACATATCACCCCCCTGCCTTCTTGGGGGAAGAGGGCTTCTGGTTTTTCTTTCTGGTTAAGTGGGTTAACCCCTGCTGGTCTTTTTGCCACCTTCCGAAGATCAGATGGCAAGGCAAGTGCCTTGATCTTGGCGTAACACAGACTCTGGAGTTGCAGGGCTGAGTTCTAAGGCTGACAGGGGTCGTCTTGGGCCCACTATCCATAGCTTGACAGATTTGCAGGTAAAACGCTACCTTTTGTGCCCATAGATACAGAACTTGTTCGACTGCTGGCATCTGTCTGCATGCAGGTGAATAAAGACAAAGGCCGGCCCAGCCACCCACCACCCCTACCCCACTCGAAGATCCGACAGCCCTGGAGTGTCCCGGTGCTGCCTGATGACAAAGGCGGGCTTAAGGTTTGTCTTTTTCTTCCTTAAAGGGCTTTAGAAAGCCAGGTCAATGGAGTTGGGGATACCTGCTGCTACTTCCTATTAACTGAGACTGGTTTACGCTGCGGGGGTTGGGAATTGGCAGGGGTGGGGAGTAAGATGGAGATGAGCAGTAGGGAATGGTGGAGACCAGGGAAAATGGGTGATCGTAACCACTTAATGGCATCAGCGGCTGCTTGGTAAGAATGTGGGTCCGTGTTGCAAGATCTTCCCTTCTTTTTTCAGGGAAAACTAGAAATCCAGGTTTTTATGTGGAAACTCAATTTATAAATGTAGGGAATTTTTTAAAAAATTCTGCATGATGTACTGAGCTGGCTGAACCGAACACCTCTCCTCCCAAGCCGTCTGTCTGCGGCCTTTGCTCGAGCGGGGAGAACATCTGCTGATCACACCGTTCTGGGATCTCCCTGTGGTCTGCAGGCCCCCACCAGCTTCTTCCCGGAAATGCCAAAACCAGACTCCAGTTGCTTATTTCTTACTACAAGCCTAGTATTTTTCTTTGAACTTTTTATCCTCTCCATCCTTCTCTACTTCTTTGAAATAAAAAATTCCACCCCACCCCCTGCCACCCCTATCCTGTCTGAGGTTCTAGTACCTTCTCAGATCTGCAGACTTGGCATTTGTTTTGTATTGGTCACTCACTCAAGCCCCTGATTCTTCCTCACGGTGCTGCTTGCATAGATCCCTTCATCCCCATCTTCATGGCCATATCTATAGGCCAGGCCCTCACAGCCTCCCTTTGGGCTGTGCCAGTACCTCTGAGCTGTCATGGGGTTGTAAGGACACCCTGGGAGGTGGCAACTGTCCTCTCTGTAGGTGGGGAGACATTAACTACAGGAGCAGATGGCCAGGCCTTGGTATGGACCCCCAGCATCTCTCATGTTGTCACTGGAGTAGGGACAAAGGGGCGATGCAGCGATAGATGGTTAAGGTGTTCAGCATGGCCTCTGTCCATCTGTCTGTCTCTGACTCACTGTAAGACTTTGAGCAAGTTGGCATCCCTGTCTGAGTCTCCATTTGTCCGTCTGCGCAATGAGGAAATTCATTAGATGGGGGGGTGGCAGTTGGGGTTCACGGCCACCTTCAGTCTATTGGAAATGGCACCTGAGGACAAGGTCAGGAAGAATTCAGAGAGAACCAGGTCTAGTTGGGAAAGGTGCTGTGGTCGATTGCTAATGCCTGCCATAGGCCCAGGAGAGGGGAGAGGAGATATGTGCGAAATGCAGTCACTGTCCCTGGGTGGGGTGTTCCTGGGGCATGATTCTGCTCTGTGTTCCTTTGGCAGTCCTGGTGGAACCGAATGTCCAACAGGTTCCGGAAGCTGAAACTGATGCAGACCCTGCCCCGTGGGCTGTCCAGCAACCAGCCGTTGCCTTTCTGTGATGAGCCGGAGCCAGCGCTAGACTCTACAATGAGGGCAGCCCCCCGGGACAAGACAAACCGCTCTGGGCTCTCTGATGTGGCCCCGACACTGAAAGACAATGGTAAGAAAAAGTCACAGGTGTGGTAGAATTTCCAGAATGGCCAAATCCAAATCCTTTGCCCTGTGTCCTACCTCCTAGGCTGATGTCAAAGGTGAGATGTTGGAATGCAACGCTGGAACAGAGTGGCTGGTCTGGCAAAGAAGAAACTTAGGCACACAAATGCTGTCAGTGTGGTAGAATGGGGGGACTGCTGGCAAGAGTCCCAGGCTCCTGTCCTCCACACTCTGCAAAGGCACCTGAGGCCACTGATGTGTGATTTTCCCACCTATCAAATGCAATCAGTCTCTGGGACTGAAAGTATTTTGAAATAGAACGAGTTACCCAGGTGAAGGAGGGGTCGTGAGCTCCCCACCTGCTAGAGGTATTCAACAGGTTGAATGACTTCGCCAGGGTGCCGAAGGAGATTCCCATACTGATTGGGAAATTGGTTAGATCAGATGCCTTCTGACAGACTCCCCACACCCGGACTGTCTTCTTTGGCACCATCGTTTGAGACAGACTATTGAGTTGGGTGCACCACTGTCTGACCCAGCACAGCAGTGGTTTATGGAAAAAGCTGAAAACACACTCTGAGATACATTTTTAATGCTTTCCTTCTATTCAGATATTGAATACCAATTATTATTAAATATTTAATCGCTCAGGAGAATTGGTTTATCAGGATGAAGGCCAACCTGGTCACTCATCCTCATGCTGTGCACTCATGGCGGGGGAGCGGGGGGACGTCATTTCAGGAAACTTCCATTTGTCTCTCAGGTCCTGGGAGCACGAGAGGAGAAAAGGAAGATGTGTTATTGACAACCATGGTGAGTGTGGGGCTTTACTAAAAGCATTTCAAATATCTACCAGTCATTAGTTGATTGATTAGCAGAGGAGGAACGTGGGCGTTTGTCTTTCTTTGTGGTGGTCATGGATGGGGTTGCTATCAAAATGTGTAACAATGAGTACAGCTCTGGCACCAAAGAGTCAGAACAGATGCCAGCCCTAAACCATAGGTAAGTTTGTACTGGTGCTTAATGGCCAGATGTAAGCACCGATCACATTCTGAGGGAGGCAGCCCTGAGGACAGGCCATTGAAGGGGTAGGAGTTGATAGGAGACATTGGACTCACCGTTTTGGTTATGAAGAGCTAGGGGGAGAGGAGTCGTAGGATTTTCCAGCCTGAGAGGCTTCAGTTTCCTCATCTATAAACTAAAGATGTGTTAGAATTAGGTTCAGCTGTGAGTCATAATCCCCAAATAGCAGTGGCATAAATAAGATAGCAGCTTATTTCTCTTAAATAAGTGACCTTCAGGACTGGTACATTGTTTAATGGAGTTAGGGACCTAGGGTTCTTCTACCTGTCGGTCTCCTAGGTATGGCTTCTATTACCAAGGTCACCTCTTAGTCCAAGAGCTCTGAGCATTATTTCCTCTTTCCAGCCAGCAGGAAAGACGAGGAAAGAGGTGGCCATGAGTACATGTCAGGTATCTTTAAAGAATTTTCCTGGAAACTCATACATCACTCTATTTACATCAAATTGGCCAGAATTTAGTTACATTGCCACATCACATTGCACAGGAAGTTGGGAAATGAAGTCTTTATTCCAGGTGGTTGTGGGCCCAATAACTAAATAACAAGGGTGTCTACTAAGGAGGGTGTGGAAGATGGATACTGGGGGCAGCCAGCAGTCTCTGACTTAGGGATGCTATCCCGCATGGTTGTGGTTTTTAAATAAGTTCATCCACAGGAAGACCTTAGCCCAGAGTGAGCTCTCAGTTAGCTGCCTTTTGAACTTGGATGTGTTACCTCACCTCTCTGGGCTCCATGTTCCTCTTCTCCAAAATGAGAGCCTTCTGACTGGGGTAGACTCAAGTCCATTGATCTCCGAGACCCTAATCTGGAGGCTGGCCAGGAGAGGGCAGTATTGGAGAGGAGAAGGGAGCAGAAGTGCTCCAGGGGAAGGCCTAGGTAGCCCCAGGACCCGGGTGCTGCTGCGAGGGGTCCTGACCAGGAACTGCCAGCTCCACCCTGCCCCACCGTGCAAATTGCTGTCTCTACACACTGACTGTGGGAGCTTGCACTGCCCGACATTCAATGATATCATTAAATCGTAATAATGACTGTCAGCATGAAGACAGAAATGTTGTTACTGAAATTTTGGAAGATGCAGTAGAATGTAAAAAAGAACAATCACCCTTGATCACACATATAATGATGATTGACATTTTGTGGCATATATCATTTGAGTAATTTTCCTACCATTTTTAGCATCTATGAATATATCATGTTATATTTAATAGCAGATACTTAACACAGCACTTACCAAGTACCAGCCACTGTTCATAGCACTTTACGTATATTCGCTTATTTAATCTCCCCAGCAACCATGCAGAGTAGGCACCGTTATCTTCCCCATACTGTACTCAGCCGGATTTATTGTTAACAGTTTGTCACGACCATCTTTTCCATGTCACTGAACACTCTTTGGCCACATCACATCTTAAATGGCTTTGTGACACAACATCCCATCGAGGAGATGTGCCTGACTGACCATTGGAGACTGGCGTGGAGGACTTTGGGGTTTCCAGTTTTTTTGCTGTTTTAACAGCGCTGCTGAATATCCTCATGCCTCAGTTTTCCCCACTTACCTGATTATTTCCTCGGGATAAAGATTTAGAAATGGAATCCCTGCGTCAAAGGATATGAATATCATTGCCTTCCAGAAAGTGTGCAACAATTTTAGACTCTCGCCCAAAGGAGGGAAAATGTCCATCTGTGGTGGGCTTGCAGCTGCGAGTGTCCTTAGTCATCTTCCAGTCCAGCCCCCCATTTGCTGAATGAAATTGCTGAGGTCCATAGGAGAGAACACTTGTTCAGGGACTGAGAGAAGCTCAGAACAGCCGGGGTGGGATGCCCTGCTTTCTGCCTTAGAGCACTGCCGTCCTGCCTCATGCTCTGTAGAGGGCAGTAGTGTGTCTACTTGCCTCCTGATAGATGGAGGCTGGCCAGGGAGCCTTGCTGAGTGGGCGTTTGCAGCCATCCTTGCGGAGATGCCCGGCTCAGAGGCAGGTTTAGCTGTGGGATGCCCTTCCCTGCAAAGCACCATCTGGCACCAGGTTCACTGTCTTTTCTTAATTAAAGTTAGTGTGGACTGTGCGAATGCTTTTCTTTGACAATCCACCAGTCTTCATTGTGTGGATTTTATACTGACCCCAAATTACATGTTCAAAATTTAAAATTCAATGACAGTTAAAAATGTCAGCAGTGGGAGGTGTAGCTAGAGAGTAGGATGGGTGTGGTGGGATGGGGAAGGGAGAGTTTGCTGGGCTCACAGAGAGCTAGCCTGGGCCTCCCAGGCCCCTTATCCCCTGCCGCTTCCTCCCGAAAGCCCCAGTTCTGGTCACACCAGTCTCCTTGCTGTTCTGCATACTTGTCCTGCTCCTCTTGTCTCCAGGCCTTTCCACATTCTGTTCCCTCTGTCCGCAGTGCCCTTTTCCCTGTCTTCACTGGCCACCTTGCATTGGCCTTGGGCTCAGCTCAGATGCCCCTACTCTAAGATGCCCTCTCTACCTGCAGTAGGGGATACCTCCTCTGTTTTCTCCAGCTTCCCTGTCTCCCAACCCCCC